AAAATACTTATTCTAGGTTTATAAATATGCAATTTTGTCCAAATTGAACTTAAAATGACTATAAAATAAAACTGTGCCTATGTATTTTTAATATTTTTCAAATGCTATTATAACAATATATCAGGAGCCTAGCATTAAATGTTAACGCTTTTTTATCCAACAAATAAAATTGTATTGATATTTGTAGAAAAAAAACTAAAAAATTGAAAACTGACAATACCAGTAAACAACTCAAAAAGAGTCAACATATTTTAAAAAATGTATGGTGTATATGAGATGAGAATATAAACATTCAGTGAAATTTTCATGTATCTATAGTTATTCGTTTTTGAATTACAACAAAATAACAAAATCGTTACATAAGAAATCGAGTGAATATCCAATATTGTAAACATATGAATTTCAAACACTCATAAAAATTTACTTTGATTTTCTTGTAAACATTATTTTTATTTGATAATCTTAGATTTTAAAGGAAAAAATTTTACGAATTCTTAACTCAAAATAATTTGCTGATTTTCGTGATTTTTCCATATTTTGTAAATTTTTGAACTTTCAATGCTTATAGAAAAATTAAAAACTGTTAGATACTAAGAATTTTAAATATTTTTCAAATGTCATTGTAACAGTATAGTAGTAGCCTTGTATTAAATTTTCAAGTATTTTTACTCAACACATAAAGTTTTATTGACATTCATAGAAAAAAATACTTATAAAATTGAAAACTGAAAATATTCCTAAACTGTTCAAAAAAATCAAAATATTTTGAAAAAGTTCCGTTTTTCCTTAATTTTTCTTATGTTTTTCTTGGCGCTTTTGAAAATTACTGGGAATTTTATATTTTGAACTGCTCCAACAATATTCACTTTCCAATCGAACAAGATACTGAAGTTGAAAACGAAGCATTATTTCGACTACTTATCGTACAAAAAACAAAATCGACACAAAAAAAAAAATAAGTAAATGAAAAAAAAAAGGTGCTCTGCTGTACAGTAGGTTACAAGTGGGTCACTGTATAATGGAAGGAATCACATTTGAATTCAATGATATAATATGATTGTATAAGAACAACTATTTTGAGCGGAGATGGTATGTCAGTCTAGGTATAAGACAATAAGACATATTGTATACTTATCTATGGTATTAAAAAAAAATTGACCTATAATAGGTACCTATAATAAATTCCAAATTAATCATATCACAATATCCATTAAGTACTTATAAGGCGTTATACATCAACAACAAACACTGATACTATCATAGATATATGATAGTGTAGGTAATTTAGAAGTTTCAAGTACTCACGAATAATATTATACAATCACAACAAAATAACTAAAATAGTTATTCTAGGTTTTTTTTTATGTAATTTTGTCCAAAGTTGAACTTAAAATGACTATAAAAATAAACTGTGGATATGTATTTTTTAGATTTTTTGGTAACAGAATAAAATACTTACGTGGAATCTTGTTTTAAGTTTTCAATCCTTAGATATAAAAGTTGAACGTTTTATAAATTTTTAACTGCATAATAATTATTCAATTTTAAATTTTATAAATTTTGTCAAAAATTCGATCTTTAAATGCTTATAAAAAAAAATTGTGCCTATGTATTTTTAATATTTTTCAACTGATATTGAAACAATATATCAGGAGCCTTGTATTATTATTATTATATTTTTACACTTTTTGGCCCAACGGATAAGACTTTATTGATAATTATAGAAAAAAAAATTAAAAAATTGAAAACTGTAAATGTCCGTAAACAGCTCAAAAAGAGTCAAAACATTATGAAAACTGTATGATGTATAGGAAATGCCAGGGCTTAAAGTGGGAAAAAATTCCAGAGGGGACTAATGTCTCCATATAGTCTTAAGCGTTCCATACATGATTTTATGTATATGATGTTTAATGTATAGAATCTTAATTTGTTAAAGGGGACGCTTTTTAACCGCCGTCCCCGGTAGGGGGACTAAGCCCCCCTGCGTTCCCCCTCACTTAAACCCCTGGGAAATGCTAATATAAACATTCAATAAAATGTCCATGTATCTAATTATTCGTTTTTGAATTACAACAAAATAAGGAAACCCCTACATGAGAAATCGAGTGAATATCCAATGTTGTAAAAATTTGAATTTCAAACGCTCATCAAAATGTAATTTAACTTTCCGGTAAAGTTTTTTTATAGTTAAAGGTAGACAAACTTATGAGTAACCATGTATTACATTTTAAAATCTTAGATTTAAAAAGAAAAATTTTTACGAATTCTTAACTCAAAATAATTTGCTAATTTTCGTAATTTTTCCATATTTCGTCAATTTTTGTACTTATAAAATAAACCTGTGACTAAGGATTTTTAATATTTTTATCTGCCTTTGAAACAATATACTAGGAGCCTTCTATTAAATTTTCAAGCTTTTTTAACCAACAAATAATATTTTATTGATATTTTTAGAAAAAAAACTAAAAAAAAATGGAAAATGAAAATGTCCCTAAACAGTTCAAAATAAATCATAATATTTTGAAAATTTTATCGTGTAGGTATAGAAAATGCAAATATAAACAACCAGTGAACATTTCATGTATCGACGGTAATTTGTTTTAAAGTTACACCAAAAACTAAATTCAATTTTGTGTAAAAATTCCCGTGTTTCCTTAATTTTTCTTATGTTTTTCTTGGCGCTTTTGAAAATTACTGACAATTTTAAATTTTGACATTACCAAGGATATTCACTTTCCAATCGAACAAGATACTGAATTTGAAAATCGAATCATTATTTCGACTACCTACTTATCGTGTACATAGGCACAAAAGTAAATAAAAAACCACACATCATTGTAAAATTAATACATTCATCGTTCCACTCTGAATTTCAAATCTTTAAACTGAAAAGAAATCACATCACTGCAAAATCCATACATTCATGATATTTATGGCTCCACTCAGAATCTAAAATAAAAGTTTTTTAATTTTTGATATATGGACATCCAAATGACAGAACAAGTTCAGTTAATGACGGTTTAATTATCCATTTCACGAAATATAATCCATATTGTGTAATTGTGTGAAGTGGAGAAACCGCGCTTCCATTTCGTGAAATGGTTGCAAATGTACATTTCGTAAAACGTACAATAACACGATATGGATGCGATGCGACATTCACATTGGTTCTTCGGCAGACGTCAGTCATCCTTGTTACAGTCACTGTAGAATAATAAGCTAATAATTTTAATAGTATGTGTTTATTAGTGGTTAACGAGTTGGAACCAACCGTTTTAGTACCTACTTAATCTTCATTTAACACTCCACTGAACCTGGCAATTGAAAGTGAGAGATGTTTCAATTTCACGAGTATGTAAAATATTACTATTTAAAAAATTGTAATATTGTATTTAATTTATTATATTTTAATATTTTTGTAATATTTTTATAAACTGACAGAAAATGTTCCTAGCTTATAAAAATAATAACTATAAGTTATAAGAGGTGAATTGCCCACCCAGATCCGATTTACACAATTACAACAGTTAGGTACCTATAACTAATAACAAAACTCCTTTAATAAAAAAAATCTATTGAAGAATCAACTTTTTTCGATTTTATTTATTTTTTTTATCTCTATAACAATTATAATGTATACGGTTTGTCAGAGATGTGAGGCTGAAAAATTTTTTAATATCAAAAATTTAATTTCATAATCATGAGTCATAATCGTAATATAAGTCTGTAAAATTGTAAACTATTAAAATTAAAATTGCCAATGTTTTGAGAACTTGCTTTTTGCGATGTTTAATATTTTGGAAGATATTTATATCTTTAATTTACACATTACAACCATACATTTGTGTATACCTGTTAAAAAAGCTGATATTTTATCTGGCTCTAGTACTAAATCATAACCACTATAGATAACTGGAGTATGTCAAAACTGAGTATTTGATATGATATAGTAGACATAGATCATGTTTCCAATAACTTTTTATACTTTTAGTAATTTAATAATATTATTATTTATTAAATTTATTAAGTTTGTTGTTATTTTTAGTCTAAGTTTGGTACAGTAGTCTTAAAAGTTAATATTATAGTTTCTATTGTAAAATCTATAAATCACTAGGAAAATAAATAATTAAATAATGCTTCAATATAATTATCATTAGTATTCAATGATTACCATTAGAAATGCAATTAAGATGGCCAACATCTAATAATTGCATTATATAAAGCAATTTTAAATAATTTGATAATATTATTTAGATGTGTAAAAAAGCTATTGAATCATATACAAAACAAATTAAAGGTATATAAAAGTGTTAAATCAAAAGTTTCAATTTTTTTTGAAAAGTTTCATGAAAACATGAAAATGTATATCTCTGCGGCTTGTACACCAAATAGTAATATTTCTTAATACAAATAATAATCATATATATATATATATTATATTGTAATGATAAATATATATTTTGTTTGTATCTGACATAGTAAAAATAAAAATAAGATTTAAAATAAGTTTTACATCAGTTCAGTGTTTTGAAAGTTGTAACTAATGAAACAAGCTGAATGTCTAATACACAGTTGAAGTTTTATCTAAGAAAAATTGTAGTGGCCCATTTTTTATTTTTCAGTGAGGAGCCTAAATTGCTGTTACATCACTCATAAACAGTGAATTTCATTGAGAGATTGTCAACAACTAATGAGTGCTATTGAACATTATTTGGTGAAAAATAGTCAATGACACAATTATTACAAATGTTACAATAATATATTTTTATAATTTTATTTAAAATATAACATGATATATTATGATTTCATAAATTAATTCATTGTAATACAGATATATATTTAATTATTTAAACAGTTTATAAAAATGTACAATAATATGGTAATGTAGTATAAAATGATAACTTAAAATTAAAATTAACATATTCATTAACAAATTGTATTTAGGTCCTTTTGGATTTACTTAATGTATGAGAAGTAACAGTCAATGGCAGATTTTTGATTTAAATTCCTGCAATGTAATACTGTTATAAATTTATATTTTCCCACCAAAAGTTAAAATGGAACAACACATGCAACAGTAAACTTTTATTTAGCTACATCTGAATTTAATATTTATCCACATTAAACATAAACTTGTTGAATTAATATGATTTTATACAGGATAACCACAATAAATAAAAAGTAAATGTATACATACATAAAAGTACATAGGTAAATATTAGTATCAAGCAATAATTTTCAAATTTTCAAAATTGTACTTAACAGGAAAAAGATATTTATTATAATATATTGTTAACATATTTTTTTGTAGTTATAATTATTTAACATACATTATCCATTGCCTAAAAAATATTATTCACAGCCTTACAGCATCATTAATGGTATAGAAATTATAATAAAATTGTATTTAAATATATTTAACTGCATAAGTTGTTTCATATCATAATTTACAACAATAAAAAAGAATGATCACCTGAACTAGCATGCCGTGATTTTGTATTTGAACAAAATGCTTCAAATACTCTCAAGACTTTCCCATCATCTTCAAATGTTCTTTCAGCTAAATTAAAAAGAATAAACAGATTTTTTTTAATTTATAATCAACATTTTTAACTAAAACTTCTACAACAATTAAATTACTCGATCTATTAATACAAATTAAGGTTGTGAAAAATAACATATTATTCTTAAAATTTAATTTAAAAAGGTAATATTGTGAAAATATAATCATAATAATATAATATCATCTATAATTAGTATCAAGGGGGGTCGCGAGTATTTGTCAGAGGAGCCATAGCACAGAAGAGGAAATAGAAAAATAATATAGAATCATAATAATGAAACATTAAAATATTATCTTCCTAAGAGCCATCAAAATAATGCCAGAGTTGAAAGAGAATGAAAAATATTGAATACCTCTGCTCTGAAATATTTAGTCAAAATTACGAATTATATTATTAAAGCCACTGTAATAACAATAACACTACCTGTGTATCATACAATTATGTAATTTGGCTGTTTAAAATTGATTTGGTCGATTGTTAAAACGAACCGCTTAGTTATATATGCTGCATGTGCGATTAAAGTCTGAGCACGCCAATGATTATACACTGAAGGGTAGGGAATATTTTAATAATAATAGAGAATAGGAAATACAATTCATAACTTTATAAGTCCATGGAAATATATACTCACATCTTTTTGCTACACAGATATTTTTTTCATTAATGTTGTGATAAAATTGAAGTGGTGGAATGGGTCTAAGTCTTGTCACATCCCAAGCTAATCTATTAACTTTTTCCATCTGAAATAAAATATAATATTTTTAATCAAAAATCTTGAAGATTTATGTACAGTACTCGGATCATTGTAAAATAGTTATGAATAATAAGTAATACAAACAATAATATAAAGTATTTTTATTTTACAGTTAAAAAAAAATATATATTAACCACGGCAATTAGCATGACAAATTTAAATAGTAAATATTCATTATTCATTTTATTTTTAAATATTAAATCATTATTGTTAGTCCATTATTAAAATAGGGTTGTAAAAGCATAGACAATTATATTATGTTAAAATGTGTGCTAATAGCATCGTAAATGATGGCATGAAAATCACTATCTAAATAATTTAATACACATTGGTGGAATAGTTAAGTCTGTAACGATCGGCTATGTGATTCTAGGCATTTATAATATTTGTAGTATTTAAAAGCTAAATTATTGAACAATACTATAATGACAAAATTAAAAAAAAAAAGAAAGAATATTTAGATTTTTACATAATATACAACAATCAGTAGCGGCTTGGGTTTATATGCACTACTGTATAGTACACTACTTTGGTAAATACGATAAACGACAACAAGAATTTTAAAAACCATATATTAATTAAATAAGTACAAATAAAAATATTTGTTATGATGTTTTAATAAATCCTAATAACTTTAAGAAGAACATAATGTTTTTATAGAATAAATGTATAATATTATAGTGTTTTGTATTTGGGTTATATATCAGGTAATTTAAATGTATATAATGGTCAATAACTTTTGGTATATGTAATATACTAATATGTATATGTAATTTGTCGGTAGGGGTGGTTACACTGCTAAGTTTAGTCAGATTATGCTAACATTTATGTTGTAAATAGATTTTTTTTGTTGAGACACTGAAGTGATGAGGTAGGTTCATACATTTGTTCGCACAACAAAGTTGAACCTATACAAGCCGCCACTGCATACAATCAATAATCTTATTGGGCATCAGTATATAATAAAAGGATATTTGTAAAAAAAAATCAACTCAGCAAATGTCAGATGTTAGTTTCAAACTGTATAATTTGTGTGACACAACTAGTAACACAATCACAGTCAAATATAAATTAATATCTTGCCTGAATCACAACTGCCAGGAGGTCCCTGTAGCTTTTTTTTGAGCCACCAATGTGCATAAAGTTCAGAACGAAATGTAACACCTTTGTCGAGCGGCATAGGTGTTTTATTATTCAACAACAATGAATCGTCTTCAAAAATACATGAATTGATATGTAACGACGAAGAACATTTACACAAATGTTCAGAATTGCTACTAGATGTTTCAGTAGGCGGTAACGGTGATTGCTGTGTAACAGGAATAGTGATATCCGCCAACCCGGAATCAGATGACCTTAAACTGTTATGATCTTTAAAATAAAAATATTGAAAATCTTGACTTATTTCTGTATCTTTTTCATCGTCACAATTGTTATCATAACAGTAGGACGTTTTTAAATTGCACAAGGAAAATGTACTATCCTGATTATCTGATAAATAAATATCATCTTTATTATCTGTATTTAGCAATGGAACTGTCAAATGTTTTGGTTTTAGATTTTCAGTATTAGATTCGTCGTAGTTCAAAAAATGTTGATTATAATTATCGTTCATATCTTCTTTGTACAATGTTGACATAGTTAAATCTTGACAGGCTTTAGTTTGAATTGGAGTGAACAACAGCTTTTTTCCATATATAACTTTTCCATCTTCTTTAAAAAGCATTGATGTGCAATGTCTTGGTGATGAAATATTATAGCTATTGGATACATTAGATTTGTCATTGTGTTGTGTTCCTTCTAGACAGTTTTGTTTAGTTTTACAAGGAGAATAAAATGTGCTATGTTGATTAGCATAGCGCCTAACAACTTTTGATGTATCAATATTATTTATGTATTGTGTGTATAGAATTAATTTCAAAAGTGATCGAGTTATGACACCCTTGCATACTAAATGTGCGAAATAGTCACTAAGGCGACCAAGGCTTAGACTTACTGATTTGCTAGATGTAGTATTAATGACACTCTTATTTCCTAATTGCTTGTTAATTTTTTGTATCCAATCAATTTGCTCTTCTTTGGACTGACAAACAGCAACAATATGATCAATTAAAGGCCCTATAGATATAAATCATAATTTTTATTCATAAGTTTAAAAATTAATTTGATATTATTATTAATCTATGATTTCTGAATAAATATTTTACCAGATATTTCAAAAGCATTTTTAATGGCACCATTATTTTCTAATTTCTTGACACAAATTCCACTTAATGGTAGTTTGCCCTAAAAAAAAAAAAAAAAAAAACCATAAGTATAATTATGACTGAGTCTATTTACAATTTATTAAACAAATATAATGAAATTATAATGATTCAAGAAATAAAAAAAAAGCGATATTATTTTTATTTTAAGAACTTGTTATTACATATTATTCAGAAGACAATATACCAACATTCACTGTATTTATCTTTCCAATAAGCAACACAGAAAAACTTTACTCTATATTTCAATCACAATTATGTGTCAAGTTATTTATTAGATAATTTAACGTATGTACATATAATAGTGAATATTGGTAGTCTCTGTTATATATCAATATTCATTAAAACAGCTGGATAAAATTAGTATGATTATCAAATATGAAAGATTGAAGACAATTGACATTTGATATCAAAGAAATAGTAATTAAGATTAATATGGATTTGTATTAACAGTTTTCATACAAATTATACATGTTGATCCCGAAAATACAAAGGCAGTTTACATACAAATAATTGATAATGAATTTAATAAATTATGAACTAAAATTGGTATTTAAAATCAGTCAAGGTTTGCTGTCAACATCCACCAGACTGTGGATATTTACTGTAACATACATAACTCATTGATAAATAGAGGCAGTAAATGTTACTATAGTGTTGTCATAATAAAATACAGTGGTTAGTGGTTACCGCATAAAGTAATCATTTTGGTACAGGACAAAACAAATAACACAAACTGACTGACAGAGTTGGGCGTTATTCGAATGAAATTTTATCTAGATGATTATTTAGATAACATTTTATTCAAATAAATTATTATTCGAATGATTTTTTTACAATTATTCGAATTAAAATTTATTCGAATAATTTTTTTTACAATAATTCAAATAAAAATGTATTCGAATAATTTTCAACTATTGTTATTCGAATAAAAAATTAACCGATTCAATTTTAAACATAGATATTCGAATAAACAATAAACAAATATCTATCAATAGAAGAAAGTTAATAATTAGAAAATTAGATATGTTTTTTTAAATTATATTTTAACAATAGTTTTATAATATTATAATATGAATAATATTTAATGGTAATATTTCATAACAATTATTACAACAATCCTAATAGATTGATAATAGCAATATCTAAAAAAATTATTTTATTATGAACTAGGTATTTTTAATCAAATTAAATAACTAAGAATTATTCGTATAACCGTCTTTAAAATTTATTCGAATAATCATAGATGAAAATTATTCGAATAGTTTTTTATTCGAATAATCATAGTTGAAAATTATTCGAATGGTTTTTTATTCGATTAATCATAGTTGAAAATTATTTGAATAGTTTTTTATTCGAATACTCTTAGTTTAAAATTATTCGAATACATTTTTATTCGAATAATTGTAAAAAAAACATTCGAATAGTTTTTTATTCGAATACAGATTTATTCGAATAATTATCTAGATAAAATTTTGCCCAACTCTGCTGACTGATAAGACTAAACAAAAATTAAAATATGCTCATAATACAGCCCATACCATAGATCATATACCTACTATGGATGGACCCATGTCCTGATAACTTGAAGCACATATAAGGGACTAGTCTCTGACAGAGATGCTTGTTGTGTGCATGCTTGAAGAGAAATTTACCATATTTATCTGCGTGATATGTACATGAATATAAACAAACAGCTAAATATGTGATGGTTCACCTGACAATTGCGCACATCAAGTATCTCTGTCAGAGACTCGTCGCTTATATGTGCTTCAAATAGTTTACACAGGCAAGATGAGCATGGCTCCATCCATAGCATATGATCTGAGGCTCGTACTTACACTTTTCAATAACATACGGTTGTTAACATTATTAATATAAATTGTGATTATAATAAGCAGAAACCACTGTAATAATAAATCCTTGGCTTACTTCATAAATAAATGAACTTAGTCTTTGGGACACTGATAAAATAACAAGATGGGTAGAAAACAACATTAGATATCTATCTTTATGCTCTGCACCAAATGCAACAGAACCAATTTTAATTGCATCGCCTAAACTTAATGCGTCAGTGCCTTCCCATCCTTGTACAACTCCACTTAATATTGATAATTCCAATTCTTTTTGTTTCCTTGTTGATAAGCATACAGTCTGAAAAATTAAATATATAATAGTCATTTATTTTAGCATATTCCTATTGTAATTAAATTAATAAGTTAAGTAAAATTATGATGTGCCTAATTAAAAAAAAATGTATTTTATTTAATAATTTTCTGCGTTTTTTTTACTTAGTGTAACGAGCAAAATATTAGCTTATGTGGTTTATTTTGAAAACATTATTTTACGACAAAAAATCTCAAAAAGTTATGTAATTAAATATTTTTTGGAAAGTAATTTGTTTAATCTCTCTGCAGTGATAGACAATTGGCTACTGTATAAATTAACCTTTCGGCAGGCGCACTACTGTGTATTACAAGAGCAGGCGTGTGTCGTACTTTGTACGACAGAATGCTTTTCATCTATATTTAATTAAAATTAAGTATGAATAAATAATTTTTAATAGAAATATTTTTTGGAAACATTTTACTCTTATTTATATAATATTTTATGAATTTATACATACTTTTTAATAATTTTTAATGATAATTACAATATAGTAATAAAACCGGATTTTATTTTTCTATTACTAAGTAAATAAACAATATCGACCATAATGTGGTAAAAAGAGCAATACATGAAAAAAAAATTAAAAAAATAATAATATTATGACCAGGAGAGAGACGTATTTTGTGCGATCGGACGGAGTTGACTGAAATATATATCAATAATAATTTGAAAAATATGTTAGATAAGATAACAATTATTAAGTGCTTATAACATATACGTCATTGTGGAATAGGAAAAACACATGTATTAATCGGGATACATAGATAAAAGTTATGTCAATAAACCTATAATTGTCGTACAAAATGCGCATACGAGCCTGCTGAAAGGTTAACCTAATAATTTAATATTTACAAAAAAACAATTGAATAAATTCAAATTCATATGTTATACATATAACATATTAACTTGAATAGGTAGTAGCAGTTATTTAATTGTATTTTATTTTAAGTGATACAAAAATCTACAAACCGCAATTTCTTTGTAAATGCTGATGGATCGCTGAGTATCTCCTCTATCAACATGACTTTCTTCAAGGTGTCTTTCGAGCTCTTGAAGCATCCCACTATACTTGTCTAATCTTCGGAATGGTTTGCTTAATGACACAGTGAGTACTAAAATACCAGGACTAACTGCACCTTGTGTTTCCATTATTTGGTTTAATTCATCTCTAAAATGTTATCGAGTAATGTATAAGGTAAATTAATTAATCAATAGTCATTTTAACCAAACCAAAATATTTATAGGACATACTTATATTTATCAATAATATTAACTGCTCTGGGATGAGAAGCACAATATTGCAAATGTACACTCCGAATAAAAGATGCTTTGTTTAGAAACAGTTTGCCTATTCTTTGATCGGACTGCGGTAACCCAGAGACTTGTTCTAACGATTCCAGAAGCCCTTCATGAGTTTTTGAAACTTCTTCAATATTATTTACTAATTGATTATACTCATCAATAGTCATTCTAAAATAAAATTATTATTATAATTTATATTTAAATTTAATTATAATAAAATATATTACATATTTGAGTTTTTTAAAGGAATTAAAAAACTTTGAATAAGTGTCTTCAATTCAGTGACATGTGCTCTTTCAGATTCCACAATATCCATGACAACCACAGCTCTGTTAGCTCTTAACTGTTCTGTCAAATCCAATGGTATATTGGGCACTTTGTTGTTTGTAATATTCTCTCCTGCAATACAATTTACATTACTTATGCTATTAAATATATTTATATCATACCTATAAATTAACTTAAATTAAAATTTTACCTTGAGGTTTATATTCTTTGACATAATTTGATGGAAACCAACCAGTTTTTTCTTTAAGGGTTCCTTCCCACCAGCCACCATCTTCTTTTTGAGTGACAATCACAATATCCCCTTTTTTCAAACATAGCTAAATGCAAGATATTAGAATGATTTAGATAACAATTTTAATATTAGGTAAAATATAAATGAAGGGTTACAGGGAAAAAAGATAATAGTCAATATCCTAAAATTTTCAATATTGTAATTTTAAAGTGGGACTCTAGCCTTTTTTCCCCGTTATGGTAATATTTAAACCTGTATTATATCATCAACCGCGATCTTTTTCCCATAATTCGATTCATGTGTTGATTCGTTATGAAACTAACCAAAAGGTACTATAACTATTTGATTTTTTCTTTCTTTTGACTATGATAGTTTTTCCTTGTAACCCTTCAAATGTATTGATATATAATATATATTCTGGACTTTCGTGCATTTATATACGTCTTCAAGCTCAGCATACAATTAATAAATAACACTTAATGATTATAAAATATATAAAAAAAAAAAATCATACCATTACGTTGGTTCAAGGTCTCCTCTAAGGGATATAAAAGGATTAAAGACATGAAAATATAATATTACAATTCAATGAATATTGAAGCAAATTAATATTATTGATAATTCATAAAAATATAAACTAAGATTAAATAAGCAGTAACAAAATTATCAAAATGACATTGAATATAATATGCACAAGCTCAATGATTTCAACAAATAATTTTACCTCATCATTATTTTTTCCTTTAAATGAATATACAGCTTGAACAAGTAGTGGCTCATTAGTAGTCATTTTGGATTCACTATAAAACCTTCATGAACTGTGACAAAATAAAAAAAAATCAACATAATACAAAAACATCAACTTTATATATTTAAACTGAGAAGTAATGCCCCATATTACTCAGAAACAAAAAAAAAATATTATTGATAAAAATGATTGTGAACTTCATAGTGCTTGTTATAAATAAGCATACCTAGGAATATGTATTTTGGCAAAGTTACAGTAATGACAAAATAAAATATGGTATGACTATATGAGTATGTTGGGAATGTTGGATTAAAGCCAATTCATGATTGAGAATGTAACATTTGGGTTTAATTTTTACCGTAGGTATTAACATAATACGTTGGGTGGAAAAATAATATATATTTAGACCAGGCACAATAATAAACTGATTTACATTAACAAAAATAGTTGTTTAGTCTTATATTAAATTATATTTTAACAAAATATTGATTTGAAAACATATTGTAATTATTAAGTATACTAAATAATTAAAACCCGTGTATTATATAAATACAAAAACCTTTAACTTTCAGCTACCCATAGTATTATTTTATTTTTATTAATACTGTATCTAAACTATTAATTAAATGCCTATTTATGTGAAAGAAACTATTACATTATATAGGTACCTAGGTACTTACTATTCTAATCACAGATTACCACCTATACAAATTAATAATATTATTGTCAGTGTAATAAACAATTATACAAACTCACCCATAAATGTTTGAACTTAATAAACTATTTATACAAAAAATTGAGGATTAATAACACTTAAACGAAGAACTTCATAACTATATGTTAAAGTATATTTCAAAAAACATTTAAGGTAATGATGTTACAATATTTTATCTCATATATTTTATCATAATTTCTATTGTTTTAAAACTACAGATAAACTCAGATTATTTTAAGTACTGTTAAAAAAATAATTCACAAATTCACAACTCAAAATTATTTTAAAGAATATAAATATTAATCACCTAATGATAAATTACTTGTTGCAAAATGTAAACAGGTGGATTAAAAGAGTCTATGATCATTTAATAATTTAATAAAACTAAATAAAATATTAAACATTTCGATGTCAAATGCACAGATAAGTGATAAGATAGCTTATCAATAATAAATGTGACCAAGTGATTAAAGAAAAATATCCAAAAAAATCGTACACAAAATAATAATGTATAGATAATACCTATTTGGCATTAAGCGCCTTAATGATTACTAGGACACGGATTTAAAATATTATATTAAATGAAAATTGCATTTTTTTTCTCAATGTCGTATAACATATTTTATTACCAAGCACAAAATTTGTTTCATACAACATTACAACTTATAAATTAAAAATGAAACTTTTATTTTACATTTTAGATTCTTTAAGCGATATTGCAGTGATGTGTTTTTATTATTTTTTTTGTGTCTGTTATCACCTTTTAGGACACTAAAAATGTTTAAATTATCTTCAATAGTATATTATATTTTCTGATAGGAAAGTGAATCTAGTTGGTACTTTGGGGGGTCAAAAGTAAAAGCGCCCTTTTCAAAAGTGCCGTGAAAAACAAAATAAAAATGTTTAAAAAACGGGAATTTTTACGGAAAATCGGTTTTCGACAAAATCGTTAATATTGAATAGAAGGCTCCTGATATATTGAAATATTGTTACAATAGCAATTGAAAAATATTACAAATACAGTCACAAATTTTTTTATAATCATTTAAATTTTGTATTTTGACAACATTTATCAAATTTAAAATTAAAAAATGAATTTAATTTTATAAAATGTTTAACTTTTATATAGCTAAGGATTGAACATTTAAAACAAGATTCTATGTAAATAGGTAAACAAATAACTTAGTAAAATATACTTAGTAATATCATAGGCTGTCTTCGCTCAGAATCGTTTTTCGTCAATGATATTATATCATTGAATTCAAATTTAACACTAACCATTACAGTGACCCACTTGTAACCTACTGTACAGCAGAATGACACCCACTTGCCCAACTTTTTTATTTCTAGGGAACATTTTAGAATTTTAAAGATACTGTTTGTTTATTTGATATATTTCAAGTATTTTTAAAATTATTTTTAGTTATTAATTTTTTAGTTTTTAACTATTCTTATTTTAAGTTTCAATGTGAAACATTATTTATAAATATGAAAAAAATATATGATGTATAGACTACTAACTACAGTATAGTGAAAATTTAATTAAAATAAAATTATTAAGGTAGACCATCTTAAATGTTAATGACGTAAGAAATAATAAAAATTGACAATAATGTGACATACTATATACGTATAGGAACATCATATTATATAGGTAGGTCCGCCAATTATAATAGTTTTATTTTACAACAATATATAATAATAAATAAAAATTTAAAATTATATTATATTTAATTGTAGGAAATATGAATACGAAGTACCTAAATGTCTGTATAGACAATCTACTATACTGCATATCGATTAATAGGTTTAAAATTTTTCACCTACTGCTAATCCACTAGTCACTACAGTAGGTACACTAGCCACTTCGGAATCACCTGGTGGGTATATTTTATTTATACTTACTAATTAACTAGTGTATAATTCAATATATCTATACATTAATACATATATACATTGCATACAATTTTATTTTAATATTTAAAAAGGCAAAAATAATTTTGGTTTATAATATATTAATAAATAATAATTACCTACCTATATAAGTATAGCAAAACTTCTAAAATTGTAGATAAATCGTAAATGAGACTATTTATACTTTAAATATATTATATAGGTACATAAAGTTGTTATTAGTTATTAGTTATTACCTAACTTACATAATATGATTTGAGTAGGTAGGTAGTAGCCAGTAGGTACCTACTATAGATATTAGGTAACTTACTGTTAACAATGCTAATTAACCTGCAATTTCCAATATTTTTTTAGTATTATTCATTGAAATAATTAGGAATTGATAATATAACTTTGTCTTTCACAGTATGACATTGGTTTTCAACGTCTTTATCGAAATGCAAAAGAAATAATCAATGTTTTTAACAATTTAATTAAAACACTTAAGCAAATTTTCAATGAACAAACGATAAGATTCTACAAATAGAAAATTACTCACTACCATGATGGAAAATTAATGTGAATCTGAAAGTAAGATATTTTAGAAATATGTATATCGGTGTCTGTGTTAAACCTGGTCATTATGTCTGCATGATTTTATTTTTTAATTACAGCAGGTTAAAAATGATTTGATAATTTAAATGTAACATTTTAAAATGTATGAATACGTATAAAAAACACCTTACATCTATAATTTTTTATACAATTTTAAACAATTTATAATAATATATTAGTACATAATTTATAAATATATTATTGTTTAGACTTTAGATTATAGAAATTCTGCTCTATTATACATATTTCCCAGGGCTTAAAATCAAAACGAAAATGTTCGATTTTAATTTAAATGTTGCTTATTTGTTTTTTTCTGATTTAAATTTAAAATTATATAGGTATTAGTTTTATAATTTCATGATTTTTATATTCTTTCACAGTATCGATTCAATTGTACTATGATTTTTAACATTATTTGTTTTTGATTTAAAATATTTAAAATATTTATGATATGTAAATAATATTTAAAACATTAATTTTACATTTTTACGATTTTAATTTAGATTTTAAAGACTAGAAACCTCTCGTCGTTCGTATAATTATATACCTATATGTCGTTAAGCGAGGCTATGAATAATGGGCCTATTTTTAAATTACAAAAAAATAATTAAAATCATTATTCTATGTTTAAATATCTAATTTCGTCTAAATTTGAACCTAAAATATCTATTAAAAAAGAACGTGTCTGCATATCATTTTTAGATTTTTGACTATAATAATACCATAAATAGCATTAAACATTTTGTTTTAATTATTATTCTGTCCTTAGATATAAAAATGTAATATTTTATAATTTTTTAACTGCAAAATAATTTGCATATTTTCGGGATTTTGATGAATTATGTCAACATTATAAATGCAGTATAATATAAATTCATAGAAAAAAGATCTTACAAATTATTTTTTTTTCTGTTAAGTGGACTTTATACGGACATTTGTTGTCTCCGTCTTACAGTTGCTAACATGGAAAATCTTAAGCTCAGTAGATTACGTTTTAACTCTATTAGTTTAAAAATTAGAGTTAATTTACCAGTTATAAAATTTAAAGATAATATATGAACAATTTACAGTTTTAAATTACTCATAAATCGCTTTAAAATTAAAATATAACAAAAGCCTATATGAGATCCCCTAGACAATAATCTTACATTTAGATTTTATAAGAAGTAAATTTACTCAAATTTTTAAACCAACAGAGTTAAACGTGATCTGCCGAGTTAAAAATTTGCTATGTTACGCACTTCTATGACGGAGACAACAAATGTCGGTGTAACGTCCTCATAAAGGTAGAAAAACTTATGAACATTGTTCTATTACATTTTCAAATCTTAGATATAAAAAAATAAAACATTTTATGAATATCTAATTGGTACGAAGCCGACGATATTTCAGGCGCGGTCGACGATTTTCGATGACGGAATTCGATTGCGATTCCGGTACGACTGACACGATTACTACTACTATTACTACTACTACTACCACTACTACTGCCACTACGTACGCGCGCCGAAATGAAGTCGAAACTGTTTTAAGGTACCAGGGTCGCATGACTTGCCCGCTACTCGTTCTTCAGTTTTGACGGAGTCGTCGGCGGTCGACGAGCTATTCATTCAACAGCCACCACCGCATGTATTCCTGTTCCTTATATGCTGATCTTTAGCGGAATAATAACGTTTAAATCAACCACATCAACGCGGGTTTCCACTATACACGTACACGTACGTGCATACAAATCCTTAGCTGTGATTGGTTGGTTAGGTTAAGTTACCACACGGTTAACCACGATAGAGCATTGCTGAACATTTTTCGTGTACACGGA